AAGGATCGTTCATTCAAAAGTCGATGATACTGTTTTATTGTATTTATTTAATGTTAAAAATTGCATTATTTACATTTTATAAGTCTATTCAGGCCGGTCTAGAATTGAAAGTAAGTTGGCACTAAGCTTTCGGTAGGTCACCGATCTAACTTACAGGGGCGTAGTCACCTTTATTAAACGTGTAGGCCAGTAAAAGGGGGTCAAAATCAAGTTCCGATTACAAAGAGCCAGTTGCCCGTTCCAAAGTATTTTCAAGGAAAATTATCAAAACAATAATTTTAAACTATGAATTTGATTAGATGCAAACTTTACTGAGGACGATAAATCATTAATAAGCCTACACTTGATTCGACCATACGACTTGAACGGTGACTACCAACCCACCCCGCCTGTTTTTATTGTATTTTTGAGACTTTTGAAAATGTCAATTTCTTGACCAACTTGTAGGCCCGGCCTACATGGCCTAATAGTAGCTACGCCACTGCTAACAGAAAACAGACGCTTTATTCTGAATGTGCAATATATTTACAAAAAAATATATAATTACATTATATAGCGTACTTTATCAGACAAATGAGTAAAACATCACCCAACTTAATCAATACTCCCGGAATAATGTTTCTGCTCATTTTTTCCCTTCCGGTTTTAATTAACTGGATATCCGGAATGATGAATTTGTTATTGTTTAATTTTTTTAATATTTACGAATTTTAATTGATGCACAGCAACATTGATTCTAAATCAACCATCCATAAGTCCCACTATAATTAAACAATCGTACAGAAAAATTAGTTGAAAACAATTCTGTTTTGAAAGAGAGTGGTCACTTGGACTTTGTTCACGGTACCAGTAAGTCAGTACCAATAGGGTTCGCTCTTTTTTGTTATATTTTTCAATATTTGAATGATAAACAAATTAATATTTTCCGATTCCAATGGTACATATTTTTCCAATGTAGTTCTTGTATGTTTAATCGATATGCTTGCAAAAATTGTGACCCATATTTTCATCAAAGTATTGCCACATAGAAAAATTTGTTCAAGCATAACGGGACAAGTAAAAGAGCTATCGGCCGATATTTACCTGAAACATGTATGATTTTTATGCAAATAGTGAACGCCAATCCCGATAACTGTAATGCGTTTTAAAGATTGGTATACATAAAGGTAGGCAACTCTTCTATGATATGAAGTATTTGTTTCCTTGAAATCTTTGTTATTGCCTTCTGCATTTTCATGTATTGCTCAATTAAGTTTACGTTCCTTACCCTAGTCATGCACAGAGGTATAACAATACATTTTATATTATAACATTCATAACATTTTATAATTTACAATGTTTTAGTGTTCAGATTATATATTTTATTACAAAATATTCTATATCTGTTTTCTTACAAAAAAGAAATGAGCCGCGTCACGACAAAAACAACATAGTGCGTTTGCGACCAGCATCCGCGCAGTCTGATCAGGATCCATGCTGTTCGCTGTCCGTTTCTCCACTTGTAATAGAGTCGGTAAGCGAACAGCATGGATCCTGATCAGACTGCGCGGATGCGCAGGCTGGTCTGGATCCATGCTGGTCGCAAACCCACTATGTTGGTTTTGTCGTGACGCGGCTCAAATCAGTTTGTCTCATCTTTGTATCAACATATTTATATTTATTCAAAATACGTAACACAAGAAATAGACGAGACAAGAAAAAGACGCGAAAATCGTGCATTTTACATCAGATTTTGTTTTTGCACGATTTTCTCGTGACATTTCTATTTGTTGCCATTTTGTCATTCCGATATACAGTATTCATTTGTGACTATTATATACTGCCATTGTGATCAAATGAGGGATTAATTTAACAGTGTTAATGATAAAATTGATTCAAGATCTACGGATGTAGAAGCATTATCAAAAACCAGAGCGTTTGGCTGAAATGAGATGGTTCAAATCTTTGACAACGTGGAAATCGTGCATAAAAAGGAATTTTTTGATGAAATGGAAATCTGTGATAGCATGTATGCTATTTTTGTTGACATTGTTTGTATTCCATACTTCATCAAAGGAATATTTATCAAATTATGTCCAAATCTCGAAACACGTTGAGATGTTGAGCCGTAATGTTTCCACGATTCAAGAACAAGACCATCTGGTAAGCCTTGAAAAATATACTGATGAATTACATGACATTGTCACGACATCTGGGGGCTTATATTTCACCAATACCGACAATTCTATACACATTCCAAATGGAACAAAAGTGCAAACATTTAAACGAGATGCATCTCTGTTGGTAAAGAGTGACATTGGGCATGAATCAGTGGTGCAAGAGTCGGAAGAGTTTCCTGGCATGCCTGACCCATGTATGAAACCCAGACGTAAAACTGAAGTCGAGGACATACTATGTATGGTATGAACCAAATATTTATTTTTCCCCGCCTTTTCGAAGAAAAAAGGGGGATATAGTAATAGGCTCTGTCCGTCCGTCCGTCCGTCCGTCACACTTTCGTGACCGGTCCATAACTTTGTCATTTATCAAAGGAATCTGAAATAACTTGGCACAAATGTTTGTTATAATCAGACCCCTACCTCCAAGGTCAATGTCACACTTGTTCATTCAAGGTCAACATTGTCTATTTGATGGTTTATGTCGTGTCCGGTCCATAACTTTCTTATCTTTGAAGGGATTTTGTAAATACTTGCCACAATTGTTCACAATAATGAGACAATGTGTCATGCGCAACAACCAGTCACCTACCTCCATGGTCAAGGTCACACTTTGGGGTCAAATATTAACATAGTCTATTACAGGGTATATTTTGTGTCCGGTCTATAACTTTTAGATTTATCAAAGGAATCTGAAAATCACTTGGCACAAATGTTTGTTATAATAAGACGATGTGTCATGCGCATCAACCAGACCCCTACCTCCAGGGTCAAGGTCGCACTTGCTCATTCAAAGACAACATTGTCTATTTGATTGTATATGTCGTGTCCGGTCCTTAACTTTCTTATATTTGAATGGATTTTGTAAATACTTGCCACAATTGTTTACAATTATGAGACGATGTGTCATGCGCAACAACCAGTCACCTACCTCCAAGGTCAAGGTCACACTTGGAGGTCAATTATTAACATAGTCTGTTACAGGGTATATTTAGTGTCCGGTCCATAACTTTTTCATTTATCAAAGGAATCTGAGGAATCTGAAAATAACTTGGCACAAATGTTTGTTATAATAAGACGATGTGTCATGCGCATCAACCAGACCCCTACCTCCAGGGTCAAGGTCGCACTTGCTCATTCAAGGACAACATTGTCTATTTGATGGTATATGTCTTGTCCGGTCCATAACTTTCTTATCTTTGAAGAGATTTTGTAAATACTTGCCACAATTGTTAACAATAATGAGACGATGTGTCATGCGCAACAACCAGTCACCTACCTCCAAGTGTAGCGGCGATATATGTCCAAACGTCGAAAAATGTCCAAACGACGATAAATGTCCAAAAATTGACGATAAATGTCTCAATCGCCGATAAATGTCCAACACTCCTTTAACGATAAATGTCCAAAAATTAACGAAAAATGTCGCAACAAATTAGGTGCTCATAAATGTCCAAATCGGTTAACGATAAATGTCTCAACTTTTCATATGTTAATTTGTAATTTATTGTATTGGATACTGTAACAGTCTATCCAACTAACCCATGATTTTACCCTCTGGTTTATCCCTGACGTAAAATGTATCATACATTATTGTGCATGGCCAGTTGCAGATCCGGATGGGGCGGGGGGGGGCATGTGCCTTCTGAACTCACCGAAGCAATACGTTTTAGCATTGTTTGTGTTCTTCAATATTTTTGTGCCCCATATAGAGTTGCCATTGTCCGTCCGAGTGTCTTAGTGTCCGTCCCGAAAGTTTGTGAACGGTATAGGGGCGTGGACAGAGTTGCATATTCCTTTACTGTCAAGTGGTCAAAAGTTAAGAAAAATATGCAACTCTATCTGGCAAACAAAGCAGTTAACCTGTATAAACCATGTGAGCTAATCAAGGGGTTAACTGCTTTGACAGTTAAAATCTGACCTACTGATTCAACAGCGAACAGTGCAGACCTTGACAGGATGACGCATTTGCTTGTCGGGGATTTGGTTCGACAATGGTCGTTATAAGCATATACGCAACACGTGTTAAAATGGGTTTTGTGACTTTTCTCTTTAAGTGCTGCAAAGACGGTCCTTCTCATGCCTACATTGATTTAAGACATTTGTATTTTGATTTATTACTCATTCGCGCGTGGTCTGCAGGGCCACCGCCTTATAAAATACAGAGTTTTGAAAGGCTACTTACATGTATCCCTCCAGTGTCGACCCAGATCAGTTTGCACGCAAATGCGTCACCAGATGAGGGTATTGCGCTTTTAAACACCAGTAATTGGTAGTTAAGTTTTGTATGTCCTACAGTGTGGCACTTTCAAGATCAACCTACATGGTTATACATGAATATAATGTATATATAATCAAGTAAATGTTCAACTAAATAAGGGGAAGTAACTGCTATATTACCATTTTACAGCTTCTGATTGGCTGTAATTATGTCGCGGGAACAAGATAATTATTTCGTGGGAACAAGATATTATCTCGTGGGAACAAGATAATTATTTCGTGGGAACAAGATAATATCTTGTGGGAATAAGATAATATCTCGTGTGAACAACATAAATAAAGACACCCATGTGTCACATCTGTGCCACCGTAATAGTATGTTTTCTTGCTGTGCTGGTTGGATACAAACTTTTCGCTTTCCACGTGGGATTCTTTGCTAAATAAAGATTTTTTTATAAACTATTTAAATTGTATTAGTATGTATATTTTTGCATTATGTTAACTGGTTACTAAGGCATTATCGCTATTATGAATACAGAGTTATGTAAGAGTTATGTGCCCCAGGGTGATATAAGAAATATTCCCCGAGGGATATATTCCAGGAGGGTGATATTCGATCAGAACACATTGTAGGCCTATGGGAGTTTTACATTGAAGGATATATTGAGGTATAATAATATAAATGTTTAAATGACACCATCATATAGCAATTATAATGTTACTATTCGAATACTGTGTAATATTTGATATATAATTAACACATGACTGTCGGGGTGATAGAGGATATTGTCAACACGAGAACTGGTATATTATACCAAGGCGCAGCCGAGGGTAATATGCCAGTTCAAGGGTTGGCAATATCCTTTATCACCCCGACAGCCATGTGTTATTTATTTTATTATACCGAAAACAAAACCTTAGGTCAGCAGTCTTTGCCTGAAAGAAAATACAGATCATCACTTCACAATTATACCGATTTTGATCTGTAAATGTTCGATATACACAAAAATAGTATAATGTATATAGATAAAAACAAGAGACAGACAGACAGACAGACAGACAGACAGACAGACAGACAGACAGACTAGGAAATAAATAATATTATGCTAACTGGGTACTAAGGCATTATCGCTTTATGAATGAGTTATGTAAGAGTTTTGTGCTCCAAGGTGATATAAGAAATATTCCCCGGGGAATATATTCTAGGAGGGCGATATTCTATCAGAACACATTTTAGCCCTATGGGGAGTTTTTACATTGAAGGATATATTGAGGTATAATAATATAAATGTTTAAATGACACCATCATATAGCAATTATAATGTTACTATTCGAATACTGTGTAATTTTTTTTTTAATCTGTTGACAAAAACTTTTAACATTTCTTCTCCATTTGACAAACGTTATTTTTGAAATTATCACAATTTGTCAATGAATATTTTCATCTTTTTAAACTGTTTTACACATTATATTAACTGGTTACACTTGGTTATGTCTTGTTGCAACTTTCGGTAATGTAAGAATATATTTAAATATAGATGAATTATTATTGTACACAGACCACTTGCTCATTAGTCAACGTTTCATTCTGCAAATCATTTTCAAAAGTACATGTACAAATGATGTATGTACCAAACTCATATTTATGATACTTTCAAATCAATACTTATCTTGAAATCCAATTGATATACATAATGAATTATGTAATTATTGTATATTTTATTGAACAGATCACCTATAACAGTGATTTTACGGGTGATTTGCTTCTCAAACCTTCCTCGGGTAAGTCGAGGAAGACTTTCAAATATGAATACCAATTCTACACTTGAGTTCACCTTGACCAAGGCGTCCTTAATTCGTCCTTAAGGAAGCCTTTCCCGAGTTTGAGTGGAGGTTGAGTTCAAGTGACGACACTGAAATTGCTTTAAGTGTAGAGTAGCGCAATGCAGATGTTAACAAGATATGTTTGTAAAACATGTATGCCCTCCTAAACACAGCCAATTTAATATTACTAGTATAACATTAGATTTTTAAATGTGTATAAAAAATTCATAGTAAATTTGTTATGGAATACATGTATATCATTGCCATGGGACAGAACCAACAGACCCATGGGTCCATGAATTGAGTAAACCCTGTAGTTGTCAATAAGACAATGTTACACACAAAATATCTTCTAAAACAAGCTTTTCATGGTGAGGTCAGTGTGACCTTTAGCTTTGACCTACTGACCCCAAAATCAATAGAGGTCTTCTACTAGTCATGACCAACCTCCACACCAAATATGAGGACCATCAGCCAAAGCATTGTCTAGTTATTGAGCGGAAATGGCATGGTCTACGGACCGACGGACCGACCAACCGACCGACATGGGCAAAGCAATATACCCCCACTTCTTCGAATGGGGGGCATAATAACTTATTTTATTTGACTATTTTATCGTTGGTACCGGTTGCCCATATGACCAACGTCCCCTGAAGATTGTTAGTATACTATTTTCGGGGGATAGTGCATGATGCAGAAGACGCCCCGTTCCAGAGGCGACCCTGGTTCTTTTAAGTGCCCGGTGTAAAGCACCAGTACAATGCACCTCGGTTTAACTTATCTTTTTCCCTTTTAATAGTAAGGGAGATAGACTGTATCCAACAATTAACTTATTTTCAAATACATTTTTAAAACTTTTTTAACAATCTCACACGCATCCCGCTAGAGTCCCGGTGGTCGGTCGGGTGATCCAGGAACGACCAGGGTACGTCCGTAACTCTGTCGGCAACGTCCAGGATGATCAAGGGCTCTGCCGGGGCTCTACCGGTGATTGGTGGCACTCTATTTAACCGTACCGGGGCTCTGCCGGGATCATCCGGGACTCTGCTGACATCACACGGGGCTGTGCTAGCATGGATCGCAGCTTTTATGATCTCTTTGATCGAAGACTTAACAGCGTTTGAATATCGTGTTAGGTCATCCGTCGTCCACCTACTATCTGCATTATCCGTAGTTTCAACTGGACTCTGCATGGATGGCCCGGAGTTCATCCTGGTTGTTATAAGTATGGAAATTGCGTATCGCCGTAGTGCTACCGGGGTTACTGAGACTGCAACAATATTTTCATCCCGGATTGTCTGGGGTGGTCCTGGGCTTTGCCGGGATGCTGGTGAGAACGCTACTTAAATCGGTACTTTTAATCCCTATGGAAAACTGGCTGATGCATTACTGTTGATCATTGAAATAAGTGCAATTAACATATGAAAAGTTGAGACATTTATCGTTAACCGATTTGGACATTTCTGAGCACTTAATTTGTTGCGACATTTTTCGTTAATTTTTGGACATTTATCGTTAAAGGAGTTTTGGACATTTATCGGCGATTGAGACATTTATCGTCAATTTTTGGACATTTATCGTCATTTGGACATTTTTCGACGTTTGGACATATATCGGCGCTTCACCAAGGTCAAGGTCACACTTGGAGATCAAATATTAACATAGTCTGTTAAAGGGTTTATTTTGTGTCCGGTCTTTTCATTTATCAAAGGAATCTGAAAATAACTTGGCACAAATGTTTGTTATAATAAGACGATGTGTCATGCGCATCAACCAGACCCCTACCTCCAGGGTCAAGGTCGCACTTGCTCATTCAAGGTCAACATCGTCTATTTGATGGTATATGTCGTGTCCAGTCCATAACTTTCTTATCTTTGAATGGATTTTGTAAATACTTGCCACAATTGTTCACAATAATGAGACAATTTGTCATGCACAACAGCCGGTCGCCTACCTCTAAGGTCAAGGTCATACTTGGAGGTCAAATATTAACATAGTCTGTTACAGGGTATATTTTTTGTCCAGTCCATAACTTTTTCACAGATCAAAGGAGTTTGTAAATACTTGCCACAAATAGCCACTATAATAAGACAATGTGTCTTGCGCAACACCTGCATCCCTACCTCCAAGTTCAAGGTCACACTTAGAGGTCAAAAGTTAACTTAGTCTGTTTAAGGGGATATTTTGTGTCTGATCTAGAAATTCTTCAACATTTTGAAATAACTAGGCACAAATAGTCACAATGATAAGATGATATGTCATGCATAACACATGTGTCCCTACCTCCAAGGTCAAGGTCACACATAGAGGTAAAAGATTTACATAGTCTGTTATAAAATATATATATTGTGTCCAGTCCATAACCTGGGATTTTAAAGATACTTGATACAAATAATCACAATGATAAGATGATATGTAAGGCACAAAACATGGGTCCCTACCTCCAAGGTCACACTTAAAGGTCAAAGATTGACATAGTCTGTTATAGGGTATATTTTGTGTCTGATCTAAAACTTCTACATAGTTAAAGGGATTTTGAAAATACTTGGCACAAATAGTAATATTAATAAGACGATATGTCATGCACAACACCTGCAACCCTACCTTCACGGTCAAGGTCACACTTAGAGGTCAAAGGTTAACATGATAGAATTTTAAATTCCGTTTTTCATTTTACTAGTATTTCTTTAATAAATTTATGTTGCATTTGCAGATCTAGCATTGATCATAATTTCGGACTGAAAGTCCTAAAATCCATACCTCAATCTTTTGAAATAGCACAATTTTATGTTTCATAAGGCGGGGGACGTTGGTAACTCTGTTACAAATTCTTGTTATTATTATTTTATGAAAAATAATTTCATATTAAGCGATACTTTTTTCAGATAAATAACAGTAAGCATGTCCTGAAACCCTTATTCAAACAGTGTACAATTCATGGTTGCCCTTTCTAAAGAAGGAAAAATATATTCGTTTCTTAGAAATGCTAATCCTTCTTAAACCCGTGTAACGAGCAGAAAATAACGAAGGAAATAATCCGTGCTTTTTGCCTTGTTAATAACACGGTGAATACACCTCTTTTTTAAAGCGATATAAGTGGATATTTCTGCATTATCTCAACCATCTTTATTTTTTCCTTTCTTACAGAAACGTCCAGTATTTTCAGTGGAATATAAAAACCCATGTTGGAGGGAGGAAGAACAATTCTATTGTTTGCCTTATTTTCACCTGATTGGATTTCCAAAATGTGGCACTACAGATCTTTTTAAACGACTTTTATTACATCCGGATATTGTTCCAAATTTTGGACGTTTTGGCAAAGAAACTTGGTACTGGTCTTGGAAACGCTTTGCTGTAAGTAAGTACATGTACTTGATTTTTAAGTTTTAAGTTTAAAGGGACTCCACTGAGGTTTTTTGACATGCCAGGACTGGAAATATTTTTATTTATTTTAGTTCGATAATAATGAAAGTTTGAAGATTGTATTAACCATTCTCGAGTCCGGCATAGGCGGAAACATGGTTGTGGCCATTAAAAGGCTTGAACCCAGGATTGATTAGCAGATACCTTAACCACTAGGTCACCGCTTCTATTATAATATTTAGTTGAGTTTAAGTAGCAGCATTTAGGCTTAAAACGTTCGCAAGTACTATTGCCATTTTCTTATGTCCCCCAGAATATTTTATAGTTTCATAAAAGTATATCGATGGTAATAACTACACAGTAAAGTCATCAATTCTCTCATTCATGAATGGATTTTGAAATTACTAGGCATGTTCGTGTAAGTACTTCCGTTACACATTAAGGAAACATATTACATGCAAATGACAGGTTGACAGTTTGAAAGGTGAAGGTTATACCTGAATTTCAAAATAGTACATGGACGGTCGTGTCTGACCATATCTTTGTCAATAACTCATTGTAATTTTTTAATAGTTAGACTCACATTGAATATGAAAAAGTATTTCTTTACGTTTTATGTTCTGGTGACACTCTTTTATAGTAACCATGCGTTTGGTGCAATTCAAAGGTCAAGGTCCTTTCAACCGGCCCTGCGTGGGAGCATTTGTCTGTTTACAACGAAAGTTATTTCATTTTTTCTTTATTTATACCAAATACATTACAAATTATTTATTTACATAAGACAGAGGATGGGACTTGAAGCATGGTATGACCCTCAAAGAGTTCGCAATGCACTTTGATGCAGAAGTGATACGTACAAAGGTCAACAGTCAAGGTCGCCATACAAGAATAACAGGTAAACACAACGGGTTCGTTGTTAATGTCACCTAATACACAAGCTCTAATCACAAATCCCGCCAGGGACTTTGGATTCTTTCATGTAAGTAAGCTATCCAGCTAGCTTACGGAACGCAAGGATACCCCAGGTCTTTCTAAATCAGTAAAGCTGGAAAGTCGCCATACGATCTTTACATTGTTGATGCACCAAAAATAATATATGTACGAGTATATATGTCAATAATTAGAATACATATACTCGTATAATCAAAAAGTATTTTATGCTAAATAATGTAGTAAGATCAGCTTAAAATTCACAAGTTTATCCTAATGAATCTGTAATGTTTCTACCGAAGCGACATTGAGGAATCATCACAAGTTATATAGATATGCATGAGTGATGATAAAAGGTTTTCACTGATGTAAGACTCTTAGCATACTGGCGGCGACTAAATACACCCATACGGCGACTGAAACCAACTTCGCGGCGACTGACACATCCCATGCGGCGACTCAGTACCCCCATGCGGCGACTAACTCTACCCATGCGGCGACTGAAACCAACTTTGCGGCGACTGACACATCCCATGCGGCGACTCAGTACCCCATGCGGCGACTGACTCCACCCATGCGGAGACTGACTCCATCCATGCGGCGACTGACTCCACCCATGAGGCGACTGATTCCACACATGCGACAAATGAAAAACAAGATTAGCCCAGCGTCATTTCCATCTAATTAGGGTCTACACTGTTAGCTATTCATACTAATTTTTTATTAATATTGAAATTTCCATACTATCAACAAGAATAGTTTTATCTATAGATGAAAAATTAATCTCTTCAAAAAACCCACAGCATTGAGGGCCAAGTGGTTTGAAGTCAAGACCTTATCCACTCGAACATGGACTCCCTAAAACATTTAACATTAAATTTAAAATCAGTATGCCTTATTCATTTCAATTGATTTTCTAACCATAACATATTCCATTTTAATACAGGTCATGGAGACCCAATGGATAGTTATGATAGATTTAACGAGGAGGCTACGCCCCAAAATATCCCAGGGGCGGAGGAGCTGCTTTGGACAACACCTTTCTCTATACGCCGTATCAACCCTAACATAAAACTTTTGCTGATGACGAGGGACCCTGTTGAGAGGTAAATAATTAAATGGTTTCTAATGTCGATATTAAAGTAAAGCTAGTTTAGTACATTGATGTCTCAAAATTCGTACCTGAAATGAATTAAACGACTATTAGACATTTCAGATTATTTTGCCGTTGTCACCGGCCTTAATGCCTATGATTACTGTATGCTTACTCGCATATACATGTATATCTTTTCTAGGAATAAGTGCAAAACGGTCGTTAGTTAAACTCCTTCTTTATGCTTAACGGTTATGCACCAGTTTCCTCAATTATAACCAGTGATTCGTTGCTAAATGTTTAAAGAAAAATACATGTCATTCATCTTGTTCACAACCTATGTTTCGTTTGCAGGCTGTATTCTCATTATTTTTTCATCAATAACGGGTCATCTGCTCATATTTTTCACGAACACGTGGTGCAGTCTTTGATCCTTTGGAAGGAATGTGTCCAGCACCACTCTATTCGACATTGTATTTATTCTCCTGAACTTAAAAAGACATTAAAGGTGAGATACTTATCTTACTCGATTATGAGAGTACCTCACATGCTTTACTATACTACATGTAGTATATTTAAACACATGCCATTCAACTTCAAGTTAATCAGACTTTCCTGTGGGGAAAGTTTTAATAAATTAAAGATATTTCATTTAACTGTTTTCAAAACTGTTTGAAAAAAACAACAAAAAAAAACGTTTGTATCGAGAATACAGTTGACAATTCAATTGATCAATAGAAAATGTCTTTGGGGACCGGTGAGCCCGCCGAAGACCGGAGACCGAAGAGGATCGATGAGTAGGACGCCCGTCTGTATCATCCAGACGTTCATGAGTTCCCTTGCAAACGTCTTGATGATACAGACTAAAATACTTTCACATTTGATTAAATATTTTTAATTGCACTCGAATATTCTTTCATATACCCATTTGAATCTTCCATATGTGCATGAAGTATAGATTGTACTAATTTATTTTAAAAACATTTACAACGTTAATTAACCAATATAGTACGGTTTACAGATCACGTGCTCCTCCAAATACCAAAACAGGTCACGTTCTCCCCATGCCTCAAAAGTTAATCGGCGGGCTCGCGGGGAATAACACTATGTTTTAATGTTTAAACACACGTGACTTTTCTGTACGTGTTTATTCCAATCTAAAAAAAGAGTATTTTTAAACACATGCCGTTTTACTATACAAGTATGTTTAAACATACATGTTTGTTCATTCACGTGTTGTTTTACAGAACAACAACAACAACATTTATTTAGCGATAAACACATGAATGGTGCATATAGCCAATATTTACAATCATATACAGATGTGAACTTGAAATGAAGCTATACAAAAAACCAAACATATAAAATAGTCAAATATAAATTGTTTTATTATACCACATGTCGTTTTTCTATACAAATATATTCAAACACATATTGTTTACTATACACATATGTTTAAAAAATATGTCACTTTTCTGTATAAATATGTTTGAACTTATGTCGTTTTAATATATTATTACATGCATGCTCTAACAAATCATTTCTAGGTGCCAATATATGTGAGTTTCTACATAGTACATTTGAAAGAATGGCTGAAAGCGTTTCCAAGGGAACAGATTTTCATATTCAGAAATGAGGATTATTCCGTAAATATCACAGAAACATTGATACAAATTTTTAAATTCCTGGATATTGGTTAGTATTAAGACATTTTTATGCTCTTCTTGTTCTTGATGAAAGAAATATAAATACATGTGTTTAAATTCATGCTAACCACGCTTTTTGTCCGTGCCAAAAGGTTTTAACTTTTCATTTTGAACCGTCTTACCATCCTGTATGTTGTAATTAAGGATGTAATAACATTTAATTGAAATTTTATATATATGTTTATCATTATTCTTCTTTGAACAATTCCCGAACATGAAATAATATGTTAAATATGTACTGCAAATGTGTATTCGTATTATAAGTAATCATTTGCAGTACATATTTATTTTTTCAATTAGAAAGGAAAGCATAGATTCTAATTGAAAAATTTGGCTTAGACTTTATCCAGAATTGATTTGTATTTACCTCCCTTTATTTACATAAAATATACATTCAGTAATATCTTTAGAAATAATGTATTTTGAACTTGCAATATTGATCAATCTCCATTTGAATATCACATTTATGATATAAAACCATATAAAATTGAGTTACAGAATTGCTAAATGCGTTTAGATTTACCCTTCGTTGTTTTGGAGCAATGAGAACCAACAAAACTGAGCCAGACAGGCCTAAGACCTTGATCATTTACCAACTATCCCTCGCAATGATTCGGTAATGGTGACTGTGATGTCTGTGGCTTAGTAGCTTAGGTATATGTGCCTGAGTAGATAAAGTATATGTGGCTGAGTGGCTAAGGAATCTGTGGTTGAGTAGCAAAGGTAATTGTGCCTGTGTGCAAAAGTATATATGGCTGAGTAGCTAAGGTATCTGTGGCTGAGTAGCTATGGTATCTGTGGCTGAGTAGCTAAGGTATATGTGGCTGAGTAGCTAAGGTAATTGTGCCTGTGTAGCAAAAGTATATATGGCTGAGTAGCTAAGGTATCTGTGGGCCGTGGCTGAGTAGCTATAAGGTATCTGTGGCTGAGTAGCTAAGGTATCTGTGGCTGAGTAGCTAAGGTATCTGTGGCTGAGTAGCTAAGGTATCTGTGGCTGAGTAGCTAAGGTTTATATGACTGAGTAGCTAAGGTATCTGTGGCTGAGTAGCTAAGGTATCTGTGGCTGAGTAGCTAAGGTATCTGCTGCTGAGTAGCTAAGGTATCTGTGGCTGAGTGGCTAAGGAATCTGCGGCTGAGTGGCTAAGGTATCTGTGGCTGAGTAAGTGAGGTATCTGTGGCTGAGAAGCTAAGGTATCTGTGGCTGAGTAACTGAGGTATCTGTGGCTGAGAAGCTAAGGTATCTGCGGCTGAGTAGCTAAGGTATCTGTGGCTGAGTGGCTAAGGTATCTGTAGCTGAGTAGCTAAGGTATCTGTGGCTGAGTAACTAAGGTATCTGTGGCTGAGTAGCTAAGGTATATATGGCTGAGTAGCTAAGGTATCTGTGGCTGAGTAGCTAAGGTATCTGTGGCTGAGAAGCTTAGGTACCTGTGGCTTAGTAGCTTAGGTATATGTGGCCGAGTAGCTAAGGTATATGTGGCTGAGTGGCTAGGGAATCTGTGGTTAAGTAGCTAAGGTAATTGTGCCTGTGTAGCAAAAGTATATATGGCTGAGTAGCTAAGGTATCTGTGGCTGAGTAGCTAAGGTATCTGTGGCTGAGTAGCTAAGGTATCTGTGGCTGAGGAGCTAAGGTATATATGGCTGAGTAGCTAAGGTATCTGTGGCTGAGTAGCTAAGGTATATATGGCTGAGTAGCTAAGGTGTCTGTAGCTGAGTAGCTAAGGTATCTGTGGCTGAGTAGCTAAGGTATCTGTGGCTGAGTAGCTAAGGTAT